AAAATTACTTTCCATACTTTGGTTTCCCTTGGCTTTGAATCAGAGGCTGGCATTTTTTGATTTTAGTTAAGTTAGTTTAAACCAAACATAATGCTAGATTTTGATATTTACATATCTACTTTAAAATCTAACATTAAGCTCAATGGCATATTTGCATTTATATCTCTCTATGTAGCTATGTATCAGCCTATCACCATTTTACAAGTGGTTTATATTTATAGCAGGGTAAGATATAGAATTGTGATGATTACTTATTTGGCAAAATGAAATATTATGATGATTATAAAATGTCTACAATACCATCTTTAAAATATAACAAATTATTTAAAAGGTAAAAGCTTTTACTTGTGCTTGGAAAAATATTTACTGTGCAGTGATGCTTTCTATATAAGTAGAAGAATATTTTCCCAAAGCTGTATTTTTATAAGTATGTAGAAATAAAATTTAATGAAAAACTTATTCTATGAAAAATTTATGACATAAATCATCTTTTATAATATTTTCTTTAAAGCTTGGTATTTTATATTTTAAGTATTATAAAAATGTCTTTACTTTAAAATATTTTCAAAATGTTTCTCAATATTTACCACTTTCTTAAAGAGAAAACATTCAACATAATTAACCTTTTCCTAATGATTTAATGGCATCATGATCACCATCTGTATTTGGCAACATGCTCCTTAGACATTAGGTAATGCGTGTTTTTGTTTGTTTGTTTTTCATTTAATAGCTGTAAGAGATCATTCTATTTGAGGTAAAACAATGGGCTTTTTTTCCTGGTTACTCCCTCACTGTCAGCTATTGCTGTTTTCAACTGCCCCAGATCATTCTGATTTGTGGGTTTGTAAGAAATCTTGGAGGTCTGGTAACTGAGCTTATTGATAGTGCATTAAAATGTAGTAAAAAGACTTTATAAGAAGACCTGAGGGCTTTTCTGTTGAATTGAATAAAAGAGCTTAATCTTTTTATAGAAGCTTTTTGCTGGCAATTTAGTCCTTCTGGTTGTAGAACTGAGGGACTGTTTCCTTGTTGGTTTTCAGGTGAGGAACACCTTTGGCTGCTAGAGGTCATCTGTCTTCTTTTTCGTGTGGTATCTTCCATCTTCAAACCAGCAAGGAGAGTCCTGCTCATGCTTTCTACCTGATTAACTTGATCTTCTTCCACAATCTCATCATTGTAAAGAGTCCTGTGATCACAGTCACCTAGGATATCTCCCTACATTAAGCTCAGTTGTGCCAAACTGCATAACAATAAATGGTGTGATTTTTATCATATTCATAGGTTCCAGGAAATAGGTTACTATATCTCAGAAAGAGGCATTGTAAAATTCTGCCATATACACACACACACACACACACACACACACACACACACTCACACACAACTCATTCTATAACCAGGATGAAGTGGTAAAGAAAGGTGTTTATCAAAGTGGACTCCAAAGCCAGGTTAACATTGTGGATCCTCCAGTTATTATCTGAAAGACATTGAGTGAGTTCCTAAAGCTTTCTCTGATTTTGCTTCATCTTTGTAAAATTGGCATAATAATAATACCTATATCATCAGATTTTTATAAAAATTACATTTGCTAATACATGAAAATTTTTTAGAGCATAGGAAGTAGTCAGAAGACACTATCTATTATTATCTTATTTTAAAACTCTCTATTCAAAGCATCTTTACTCATTATTATTTAACAACCGTATTTTGATAAAAGTCATGTACAATGTTCAGTAGTCCTGAATAATATGTGTCATGATTTCCCTTGATGTTATGACGACTTTTTACATTAAATGATCATTTCATAAGAGAACAACTGATCTCCATTGCTGTGGGTTCTGTTGCTCACAGCCAATCAGAACTGTGACTCTTAATGCCAGAGTCTATGAAAGGAAAGGAACTATTTATTCAAAAGTTATACAGGTTTAAAATAATGGCTGAATTCTACCATTAAATCCCACACTCTTTAGAAACAAACAAATAAAAAAAAACCACACAATACACACCGTCCTGCCCCACCCCTTGCCATACCAGGCCAGTCAGAGATACCATCTCTCGGGAAAAGAAATAGAAGCCTGTAGTTTAGAGGGGCAGATTCCCATCTGTATTCTAGCTTCTTCCAGTCATCAATGCTTGGCTAGCTAGTCTCCTGCTCTTAATCCAAAGCCTCACCCTCATGGTGGGCCAGGGCCAATTCTTCTGCATCTTTTCAAACCATGTGGCCAAGCCGCCACACTGCTGCTACATGGTCAAGAGTCTTCTCCTTCCCCAGCCGCATGGTCCAGAGCCCTGGCATGGCTGAAAGTGTGGCTGCCCCTGCACCTGGGTTTAAATCCCAGAGGGATCTTTCTCCGTAACCCCATTTCCGACTCCTCCCACAGAAGGTTGCATCTGCCAGCACTCCAATTTCTTCTGTCTTTCTCAGCTGCCATTCTTAGTCTGGACAAGTGTGGCCCCATGGCATAGAGCTAACTGCCCTCCTGCTCTCAGGCAGGTACAACAAGCCTTTCTGGCTACAAGGCATCATAGTTTAGAGTCAAGCCCATCTTCATGGCCCCTAGCAGGTATAAGCATTTAACATTACTAAAACACAGGCCAAGTTCTTTAGATATGCAAAGTAACTTTCAATGGCCCTCTTCTGCATCCTCCATCCCTCCAGTGATAGCTATGGGGGTTTTGGATTCTGGGAGACCTTTAGCTCAGGACCCTGTTACAATTTCTGGAGTTATTTCAAATAAAGCAGCATCAAAACTTTATGTTATTATAAATGCTAGGCACCTAGCTTTTACTTGGTACATAGTATGTGGTAAATACATTAAGAAGAGTATAAAATGTACAGAAATATATCATATGTAGTTTTATATTATAAATATAGTCTGAAAAATGTCTGTCATTTTATTTCACATTATTCTATATACCTAGAATGAAATTCATCTTTTTAATTGCATAACTATATTAAGTTAGGAAGTTTTACAATTTGTTTTAGGTTCTATTACATTATACTATATAGTTTATAAAATAATCTTGTTTCTGCACAAGAAGAACAGCAAAATTCCCTACAAAAGTCAACACAATCTTCAAAATGCTTTAACAACTGTGGTCTACATTTTAAGATAAAAAACAATAAGGATGCAACCAGCCTTAATAATAGTCTGCTGTAGCCAGATGTTCTTGTTATACAGTTTTAAGGGGCCTAAATGTTATGTTACATCAGTTCTTTAGATTTATTGTTTGGAATCTCAGCATGGACATGCTCCTGTTTATAAAAATTTTCAGGACTCTATTGTGCCTGCAATCACACATTAAAGTGACGCCTACCTTTGTTGGCATCTGAGATAACCATTCATTAACCGAGTACACCTGAAGTAACTATGTCTTAAAATACATTTTCTTTGTTTAAGCTCTTTCAAATGTATTACATGCCACCACAATAGTCCACTACTATTCATATTTTGATTTTGTGTAATGACAAATATTGTCTTTATTTTAAAGAACAACGTGGGGTAACATTTCTCGGAAAGAATGACTTGCCTTCTTCCTCAGGAAGCCACCAGGGGACACATACAGTACACTCTCATAAGCAAAGGGAGCAATAGAACTCACAAACAAATTGATAAATTTTAAAAATAATAATAATGAATTGAGAAGATTATACAGGCAGCTAATGAGGTATAGTGGTAAAATTTTCTCGAAGGTATTATTATTAATAAATTTTATTAGAAAAAGAGATGGCATATTCTTAACTTTGTGACTATTACAACTACATCATACTTATTGTAAGTTGTATAGAAATTATCTCATATTTTTAATAATGTTACCTCTCCTTTATCTCTGAATAAAAATTGAACATAAATTATATAATTTTTGCTCCAATTAGCTACACTTCTACAAAGTTGTTTGTACATGTTCAGTTCACTGCTGGTTACTCACTAAAGTGTAAATGAGTCCTTTAAAGAATGTTTCCCTAATTTGCAAACTTCATTATACTACATTACAAGTGATATAGATTTTCAGTGCCTTAAATGTAAGCACACCAGCATTTTGATTCCCTTTGTAGGGACATTTAATCACTAAAAATGAAATATGGGTGACTGTGAACCTGAAAACCAAATGCTGAAACAAGATAATGTTGGTTAACTTATATTTTATGATATTAACATTTATGAACTTATTCAAGGAACATGGGAAATATTCAATTTTCAATGTGAAATATTTAACTGAAGCCATTAAAACATATCTCATCAGCAACTTAGCTTATTTCTTTTTTCAACATCAGTTTTATCAGTAAGATTTATGATTCTCAAGTTTATGCATAAAAAGCTTTTAGGAAAGACGAACTATTTCATTTAAAGATTATAATGAGATTGATAAAGATAGATCTTCTTATGTCTCTAAATTCTGTTGAGCCATTCTGCAAATGCATTTTTTAAAAAGAAGATCAAAAAAGCTTAACTGACATTTGTTTAAATAGCTTAAAATTTTCTTTAAAATTTTTTAATGCATAAAACAAATTTAAGAGAAACATGGTACAAATTGCTAAATTAACTCTTCTTTACTCTCAGAATTATACAGATAATATACATAAGTTATGTATTTAAAAAGGCTTTAGTAATATTTTTCAGGCTAGGATTATGTTACACTTTTTTAGTGGCAAACAGAGACAGAGGGAAGTTGGAAAGTTCCTACTGACAAAACTGTGTTATACCCAAAAATGAATCTATTGAATTGATAGTTTAGCATTAGACCATTATGTAATTCAAGCAAATTAACATTTGTGTCTATTTTGATCATTATATCCACCAAGTAGAGAAAATACACTATTAGTTAAATTACTACTCCCTTTGTTTTTCTGACATTTTTTTTCTTTAAGAAAATTGAATGTAACAACAGTGTTTTCACATCCTAAATTTATGCTGCTAGTAATGTGTACACCTAGGACAGGTAGTATATTGTACAATGGTAGTAGTAAATGGTGACTGTACAATTTTATATTTTATCAGGAGCTACAACCATAGAGAAATATAACCTGAGAACGAATCTGTGGATCCAAGCAGGGATGATGAATGGCCGGCGATTGCAGTTCGGGGTGGCTGTGATCGATGACAAACTCTTTGTGATTGGAGGTCGAGATGGCTTAAAGACATTGAACACTGTGGAATGTTACAATCCTAAAACCAAGACCTGGACTGTCTTGCCACCAATGTCAACACATAGACATGGTCTGGGTAAGATTCCTTACTATAATAACATTATTTTAGAGAAAAAATTATTGATAGTGAAATTATATGTAAAGCTATAATATTATTGCCATCAATTTTCATTACATTTAGTTAAACTATTAGCTTATTTTGAGCATTTTTTAAAGTTCTTGACATTTTCCTGTGCTGACCAATATGCATTAACTGTTGAGAGAAATGTTAAAGATGCTAAAATAAGTAGACCTCAAGTTATCCAAGTTTTCACAATCTGACATTCACTCAGCATGTAAAATTTGATTTGAAAACAATACAGAATTCTTATGGGGAAGCCAGAGTAATACAGCTTAGAGAAAGAAATAGTTAATGTGCATGGCAGAAGGTAATGAAAATGACTCATTCTACATTATTAGATAGACAAGTTAGTTACATCTTTACATTCGATTTAGTCCACCTTGAAAAATCCATGGGGAGAGGGCAATACAGCTGTAGAGAAAGACTGACTCATCACCTGGCAGCAGGGGTCAGTACAATAGGGTCCGCTTGATCTTTACTCTAGAGTAACCTTAAGATGGGGAGAATTACATTTATATACAGAAGGTCTGGTTGTGAAACTTTTCTTGAATCTACCATTTAATATCAGCTTGATAAACATTAATAGTTTTTGAATTTTCACTTAGTATCATGGAGATTGTATGAAGTGCAAATTACTTTTTTTGAAGACCTGAAATATGCCAGAGATTTGACTAAGTGCCTTTCAAATATTTCGAATATACACCTTAGAGAGATTTCAGGGTTTAATTGCAAATCCACAGGTTTTGGCATTAATAGGCTCACAAGATTAGAGAGCATTTCTAAAACAAATACTAATGACAGTGTAACTTTGAGGTCTCAGACACTGCATTCCCATTCATGTCTGCTCTACCATCAATCTAAGCAAAAATAAAAAATAAATTGTTAAAATAGATAATCTAAAGCAGTTTACTTGTTTGACCTTCTTTCTTTACTCTCTTTTTCTTTATTTTGCTCCTTAGTAAAATTAATAAATGATAATAAATGTCTGAGAAAGTTTAAGTTCTAAAAAGCCATGTAAAATTATTTAAATCACATAGAACCACATTAGAACATAGAAAACAGGAGCAGCAAATGATTTTTCCCAGTAATATTCATGGATATAAAAGGTTTCTTCTACATTTTCTTCAAATACATTGGAGGATTTTGACTTTCATATCCATGTCAAAGCTCTGTGCTGATTTTATTAGCTAGCTAGCTAACAACAGCAACAGCTCATGTTCCTGTTTGGGGGGCAGCATACGGAATAAGCAGTCTTGATTGGCATATTTGAAGTTTAATGTCTCTTTCCCCCTTTTTGTTTTATATAAATAAATTCCTTTCTATTAACATATGTTGAAGTTCTATTATGTAAGACATTGGCATGTTAAGAGAACATACTTGAAATTTTTTTTTACCAAGAATATACCTTAAGTGGTATAATTTGATGTGCTTAAAGTGTACCAAGTGATGGTTTGCTACAAATCCTATAACACTGGCCCCAGTGCTGAGCAGGATGGCCATCCCCCATAGTGTCTTTTAGTTTGCCTTATTTGTCAGAGTTCATGGCAAAGGTACATGTGGAAGTAAGGCAGCATAAAAAATTATGTGTGCCAAGTATCCCAAACAACTAAAATATAATAGCCTTTCCACAAGTTTTAGTGACTCAATAGCAACTCTAGTAGTTGACTATTTGCATGACTAAACTTCTCCTGTTTTATACTTATTATTTTGCTTGATTTCTAATATCAAGTGGATCACCTCTCCTCTACATGGCATGCCTGTATTCTACTTCCTGGTGTTTTTGCTTTCTGTCAAGTTGTTTTAAAATTCTCTACTATAGAACTCCCCCAGATCTGACCTGATTGAGTTAGTATTGAATAATATCATCATAGCATAAGGCATCATTTCTTTGTACAATTCTCATTTCAGCATCATTTCTTTGCACAACTCTCATTTCAGACTGCCTCACAGAGAGCTAGCAATGCTCAATACATAGAACACTGTCTTGGCTTGGATGCCAGTCCACATCCAATCAGTTGAAGCGTCCTATCAGTTGGATTAATAGTAACAGAAGACACATGTGTGTTCTTTGATGAACCAGAGTGTCTCTCTCATGATCAGTTATATTCCTCACGATCACCTGAATCTCAGCCAGTTCACATTATGTATCATACTCAAATGCAATTAGCATCCTTGGCCTAAGATGCCTGTTTCTTCAATATAACATATCAATCTTTGATTTACCTTCTCTCTTACAGGGACTATTACTACATAGATGTTGATATTTCTTATTTGTTGCATCATGTCTTTTAAATTTAAATTTTATTTTTATATGCTAAATAATTTTATATCCAGTTTTCCAAACTGTTCTTAATCTGTATGTATCATAATATTAATCCCACATATTGATCTCAATTAATTTGTTTTTGCATTCTCACTATCCCTACTTGGTAACACATTATAACCACTTTCTTCTTTTTCATGATATCGAAAACTTCCTTTATCTCTGTGAGACAATTTATTATGCTTTTTTCAAATTCTTGTATGGCTCTTTACTTATTTTTTTAAAAATATATTATAGGTGATCATCTTCCTCCTCCTCTTCCTTCAGCTTCTCCAAGAGCTCCTTCTCTTTTCTCTTTCTCTTGTTATTTCACATTTTTCTTCTCCTCCTCTTTGTTTCTCCGCTTTTCCTCTTCTTTCTCCTTTTCTAACTCTAGTTAACAGTTGTTGTAACAACTAAAATATGTGATTTTGACTGTGCACTCACCTGAACATATAAGCTACTTTGGTTAATTGTATGAAGCACTAAGGCATTTGCCGTTCTTCGTGTCCTTCCCAAACTCTCAAGCACAGATAAGGGAATGAGAAGTGGGCATAAAGCTCTGACCCTGCAAGATAACTGTGTCCAATCTACCTGCTGTTAATCCTAACAAGTAGTCCTTAGGGACACATTTATTCACCTACATTTACACATAAACTCCCTTAAGCATTTCGTCCTTATCTCGGATGCCTTTATGTAGGGCTGGGAGCTGAGATGGGAAGCATATGTTCTGGAGCAGTAAGTCTGTTTGCTTCTGCTGTTAACAGTTCCACATCCAAGCTGATGGGTTCTGAAGACATCCTGATGTTACCCAACCAATTATGGCAAGCTCAGAACAGGCACTGTGGCTTCACCGCCTCACAGTGCAGAGGACACAGTAGCTCTTTGGAAGAGGAAATGTGTGGTTGCAAAAAGGGCACAAATCAAGTGTTTCTCCAAGAAATTCCCTCAAGGCAGTTCCTTCAATTTTTGTCTTACTCAGGAGGCTTCAGCTGATTTCTGACTTTCTAGTTTTTTTTGTTTCTACACTTTTGATGTTTTTCAAACACATGCCATGACTCCCGCTTTGATGTAATCACCAATATTAATTTTGAGTGCAGACCAACAGCTAAAACCAACAGCCGCCTGAGTTAATTTTCTATTTATTCAGAAACCAGAATGTCCCACTTTATTTCCTACATAGTGAATCAGTATCTACTTTGTGGTGTACAGTGAGATACAAAATTGACTCCATAATTCCATATTATACATTCAAGTGACAAGGTGCTGGAGTCTAAAGTAGAATTTAAAAACACAAACTATTTTCTTTGACCCATATAGCTCCCCTTCCTTAACTTGTATGAAAAAAATCCTCATATGATTTTTTGAGAAAGTCACAGGAGTTCTTTGGTTGCTAAAGATGATTTTGTGGTCAAAAATATTTCATAGTTACCAGTAAATGACAAAGCCTCCTTCTGCTGCATAAAATAGCATATAAAATTATTTTCATATTAAGTCTGTGACACAAAGGAGCAATGCAAGTGCCTGGAGGATTAAACTAATTAAGAGCACAGTTTGCTCAATATGCTAAGAGTTTTCATTTTAGCATTCATTTCTTTGAGGCACAGTTTTATCTATCATTCCTTTTTCTACCACATGTTATATAAAATTGAATAAGATATTACTTCAACACAGTTGGCAATTAAGTCTTTTTAGGAAAAATTGACAAAGAGTAATATAGTACTATTTATTAATATTTTCTAAATGCCAGGCACCATGTTGTATGTTAAATATATGGTCGGGGCTGCTATTGGGTTTTGTTTTTTTACTTTTCAACTGATAAAATTCACATACCATAAAATTAAGTGTTAAGGTATAGAGTTAATACTTTTGAGTATATTCACAGGGTTGTTCAGCCATCACCATTATCAAATTCCAAAACATTTTGTCATCCTAAAAAGAAACCCTGTAGAAAAATAGCAGTCGCTCTTTCTTGCCCCATCTCCTTAACCCTTCATAACAATTAATTTACTTTATGTCTCTATGGAATTACCAATTTTGGACATTTCATATAAAGAAAACCACAACTTGTGGCTTATTAAGTATGGTTTCTCTCACATGGCATAACGTTTTCAATGGTCATCCATTTTGTGGCATGTAATACTTCATTCTCTTCATGGCTGAATAATATTCTCCTGTTAGAATGTGCCACGTTTTGTTTACACATAATCAAAAGAAGGGCATTTGGTTTATCTTTGCTTTTTGGTTATTATGAATAAAACTGCTGCGATCATTCCTATATGCATTTTTGTGTGGACACATGTTTTCCATTCTGTTGTATATACACATAAGAAGGGAACTTGTTGAGTCATGGTAACTCTATCTTTCACTTACAGAGGAACTGCCAAGCTGTTTTTACAGTGGCTATACCATCTCCTATTTCCTCTGCAATGCATGAGGATGCCAATTTTTCCACATCTTTCCCAACCCTTGTTGCTACCCATCCTTTTTTATTATAATAATTGCAGTATATATGAAGTGGTACCTCACTGGTATTTTATAGGTAAGTCTCTAATAAATGATTTCGAGAAACATTTCATGTGCTTAGTGGCCATTTGCATATCACCTTTGGATAAATCTCTATGAAACACTTTGCCCACATTTTGTTTAGGAT